CAATAGTACATTCACGTTGTTGTAAAAAGCATGATAATATATTAAGTAATCCAAAGTATTCAGAATACGTTACTGTCATTGAGTAACGTAACGGAATACGTTACAGAATACATTTTGGGGCATGTATTCTGTATTCTGTAATGGAATACATTTTAAAAGTAACCTTCCCAACACTGGTGTTACAAGACTTTAATTGTGGCCTATGCTATCAAACCATCAAAATTATAGCAACAGTGCTGATGTTGAAAATAAAATGATGGAATGGATTTAAAATAGGTTTTCTTCCAAGACAGCATGGAATAGATTATATAAAATGCTGTTAGATAATGTATTAAAATGAATTTAATGGGGCAGTGGTGAGGCGTCATGTAGAAAAGTTGTTTGCCTGCCTGGAGCCGTGCCTGTGAGCAGGAATGCCTGAAGGCCACCCGGGCAAGAACCCAAAAGCAGCACCAATCATCAGCGCTGAGGCAGGAGACAATGATGAGAAAACATTGAGGTGCAAGTTACACCAGTGGTGAAGCCACAGATGGAGAGTAGTGATTCACAGGAGTCACCAGCCACTGTGTTACGGTGATTGCAAAGAACCAAGAGACCTGAGCATCTGAGAGACTTTGTACCGTGATTGACAATAATAAAAAGGAGATTACGGTGAACTGTTATAGTTTAACCTAAGACTGTTGGACTAAAGGTTCATTATTACGGAGTGAAATTTCCATAAAGACTGGGGACGGGGTTGTTGCATTTTAATAAAGGTGAAGTTTTTGTTTATGGGTATTTTATGTTGTGATTAAAACTACAGAGTAGTTTCAGTTTAAGGGGGGGGGAATGTTATGTGGTAGCAGAGATTTGTCCACCAGGGGGCAACAGTTGTTTGAGAGTGTGTCAGCGTGTGTGGCGCATGCCCATGCCCCAGTTCATACAATAAAAGAAGTGACTGTGAGGTCAACACGGTCTCCGTGGTTCCTTAGTTGTAGGATATCACAGTGCCTATGCCATCTCCAAAATACGCTTGCTGATGTTGGGGCAGCATGAGTACGAGCAACTTTTTTTTGGAGATGCCCGTGATGCTGCCCCCACCTCGATCATTCAAACGCCACATCAAAGAACACTGACTATCGTAAACTCATTCCACTTTTAACATATTAGCTCACTAAGCCAGTAAACTGAGGATGCTCTAATGACGAGAAGACTGTCACAGGGATTTTTACACCACTACTTTAGTTTTTACTTGCTGATGTGGAAAATTGTGCAAGATAAGGTATAGGTAGAAGGCTGATTGCGGCATAGCATGTTACTGTCACATTAGAAGTGACTGTGTAATTCTGTCGATATAACACATTTGACCTAACAGTCCTATTGCCAATGTGGGGAAAACACTAAACTTTGAGGGGAAGAGGTATTTCCTCTCCTTTTTCATGAGTCAGAATAGTGTCTGCTGTTTTTCTTTGTTTTTCTATTGTTAGTACTCACAGCATTAGTCATATTAAAATCAGAATCAGTTTTCCACTAGCAAGATAAGGCTAATGTGGCAGCTACATTCATGTTTCAATGTCTCACTGCTCCTCTGATTATATGAGAAACAGACATGGGTTTAAAAAAATCGATTTCCTAATTCAAATCGATTTCAATTTGAATAATCCTTGATTTTTAAATTAGAGCTATTTTGTCCAAAATGTCAGAATCTCAGCTAAAAGCTCACAAAACTATTTCAACAACCACCAAACAGCTAAAACAGCAAATTTTTTCTGTGTTTTATCCTGAGTTACTCTGACACAAAGGCATCTGCTGTGTTTATACCAAGATCGTTCACACTGAGTTTGTAATTGCAGTTCACTTTGAACATGTCATTTTCCAGCAGGAACCTCAGAAAAAACCCTGGGCCTTAATAGGTTAAATAAAAAGTGCAAAATTGTAGATGCTTTAGAATTTATTCTTACTTTGGAAATCAACATATTTACAACGTTAGAGGGTTCTTTCAACAGTACATATCTAAGACAAATCATAATTATAAAATTTCTGACTGACTCAGAACTGAATCTGTTGTAGAGGTCAGTGACTATACCCAGCCCTGATAAGAAATGCTTGTGCAGCGAGGCGTGTAAAGACAGTGATATTTTTTTTGTTTGCTTGTTTCTTTGTTGGAAGAATATTGTGAAGACATGCACCAACAGCTGGCCCGAGGAGGTGTAGCTTTGAAGTCCTGTCTGCTAAACTGATTTCACAAAAAATCCCAGAATCTCTCCTTACATGAATGACGGAGCTGATGGAGACAGTTTGATCTGTTAATTCATTTCATTTCATTTTTTTTCTCACATTTTTACACTGACTTGCTCACAACAGCTCAGGTTACCTGTTAGAAAATCTTCCACACAAAGCATGTTTTTTTTCTTTTAAAGGATAAAGGGAACTTTTGGCCTTAGATAAAGGTATATATCTTGCTTTATACAACTTGGTGATTTTTTTTTTGTTCCTGACCCAGGACGCTGAAGAGGATAAGATGTGTGTAAGTGTTACACTGAACACACAGTAACACACAGTAACAAGTTAACAGCAGAAGTGAAACAGGTTGTGTCCCCACGCGCACGCGCTTCTCTGTTCACTCAGCTGCTGCAATCAGCTGCACTTGAAGCGCGTTCAGATCTGTGACGGAAGAAAACAACCTGTTTTATAAAGTCCGAAATTTATCAGCTGCTGTGACTCGGTGTCTGTCTGACTGTCACAGCAGATGGATGCAGCAGACTTCAGGTTCAGCGTGTCTCTTACAGCTTTAAACCTCCTCATTATACTGATTTCCGCTCTCGCACCTGTTGAAGGTAAGATTTCACTGCAATATGAGTCCAGTTTTCAAGCTTTAATTCACGTTAAGCTGGGCAGACACTGCGATTTTTTTCAGTCGCGTTATTCAGCTTCTCCTCAAACTGCACGATTGACTCGCAGGGGTTAGAGGTTCGTAGGTCACGATGCAGGGTCTCACACTATACTGCTCTGATGCGACCTGAGTGCTCACGCTGTGCCTCCATAAAATGAAGGTTAGAACAGAAAATATGTCGCTCGCTTTCCCTCTCTGTCTTTCACTCACACAGACACGCACACTACCACCATCAACTTGGCTAAATTGCTAATGAAAAACACTGATCAAGCAGCTGCACCAACACGCTAAGATCGTCAGTTGAGCTGCAACATAGTAATCTTTCAAACATGGGAACCCCAACCCCCCTTTATCTTTAGCCAGCTGGATAGTTTGGTACTTGATCCGTGGTCTTTTCCCCTGCCATATGACCCTGAAAATTATTTTGTCCCACTCCTGAAATTGTTTATCAGTTATTTCAACTGGGAGTGTTAGGAACAGATAAAGCATCCTAGGCAAGACGTTCATTTTGACTGTATCAATACGTGACTCGAAATTTAAAATTGGTATTAAGTTCCATCTTTTAATATCCTCATTTATTTGATAACACAAGGGTTTAAAATTTGCATGATATATTTTAGAGAGATCTTTAGTGATATTTACTCCAAGATATACTTCATTTTCTCCAACTCCCAATTCAAGTTAAATTTAGACTTAATTTCCTGATTTGGCTCATAATTAAAAGTTAATATCTGAGTCTTTGATATATTTAGTTTATAACCTGATAGTGAGCTAAAGGTCTCCAGGAGTGATAACAGCTTGGGGAAAGTAATATTTGGGTTTGTCAAGTAAATCAAAATATCATCAGCAAACAAAGATCTTATGTTCTCGACCCATGATCTTGATTCCTGTAATATTAACACTTTGTATAACACTTTGACTCAGGGCCTCTATGAAAAGGGCAACGAGTGGAGGACTAAACGGACAACCCTGGCATGTCCCTCTCTGTAGATCGAAAAAATTAGAAAGTGCCCCGTTGACTTTGATTCTTGCGCTTGGTGATTTATATAATGCTTGAATGATGATGATAAACGATTGATGAAATCCAAACTTGCCCATAACTTCCCAATTAACCCTGATCAAAAGCCTTTTCAGCATCTAGCTCATAAGGACCATCTGAATTTTATTTTTCTCTACATAATCAATAACATGTAGTATTCGGCGAACAGTATCTTGCGTTTGTCTCTGCTTAATAAAACCAGTCTGATCCAAGCTAATTATCTGAAGAAGAATATTTTCAATTCTTTTAGCAAGAATGTATGTAAATATCTTATAGTCCTGATTAAGAACACTAATAGGGCGGTAATTTCCGCAGTCAAGCCTGTCCTTTCCTTCTTTAGCTATTAAGGAAATAGATGCCTCATTCCAAGATGGGGAAATTACTCCCGTCTTTAAGATATTAGTAAACATTTAAGATTTAATTAATGTTAATCGTCTTTTTTTTTTTTGGCCGTGCTTCTGATGCGCTGTCACCGTGTTTACATGCGAGTTTATGCGCAAATATAAAAATAATGATAAAGCAAGTGATATAAAACCATGATCAAAGTCAGTGATGATATAGCACCAGTCTGAAAGTGTTACACTGGTAGAAAACGTGTAGTGTATATTGCTTTTGTGTGTATTTGCTTTAGATTTTTTCTTAACTGGATAGCGTAGTGATGACAATATTTGCCTTTGGAACTTGTTAGACCCTAACCAAAGCAAACCACAAGTTACTCAAAAGAGATGAAAAAAACCAAAAAACTTTTGTTGATCTTTTGTTCATCATGGACTTATTTTATTTTCTCGTCCTTTGCAGCTCTGCCTTTTCTTTTTCTGAATCATTTTCTAAATTGTCATACTTTCAGCAGAATGTGTTTATTTATTTCTCCTCCTCAGGTCAGTTTCATGTGGTCGGATCTCGCCAGCCTATCATAACCAGTCCAGGTGATGACGTCATCCTGTCGTGTCACGTGGAGCCAAAGTTTAATGTGGCGAGGTTGACGGTGGAGTGGTCGAGGCCCGATCGTCGTCCTGACCCCAACGGCCATCTGAGCCGAGTGGAATATGTTCATCTTTACAGGCACAACAAGGAGATGACTGACATGAAGCTCCCATCATACTTCGGGAGGACGGCGTTGTTCACAGACGGCCTGAGAGAAGGAAACATCTCACTAAGAATCACTAATGTGACACAAGAAGATGAAGGAAGATACAGATGTTTCATCCCAAAGTTAAAGAGTCAAACAACGTCTTCAATTGTTCGCCTGATTGTTGGTGAGTTGGACTAAAAAGAGTCTTGTTGTTTGGTTTCAAACTTGCCTTAAAGACTATTGCAAAAACGATTGCAAATAATTTCAGATCTTCTGTTCTGCCAACCTTAAATTCAGCTAAAACTGTGACAACAGAGACACCACTGCATCCTGAAACTCTCCAAACTCCTAATCTGGCAGAAGAGTTTCACAGTAAAGGTGAGAACATGAAGAACAAATTAAGACCATTAAAAAGTCTTTCTCTCACTGATTGCAGCCTATCTGTCTAGTCCTTTACACGTGCAGCTCTTATTTTGAAGCACATACAGGAAGTGTAGTGTAATACCCTTAAGCAGTTCTGTTTTATGTTTTCTGCTCTGAGAATTCTGTGACTTGAAGTAGTCACCATCAGGGCTTATATTTCAGTAATTCAAACTTTATTTAACTGTTATGTAACTTATGTGCTTGATAGTTTAATAAATGTGACATGTCATGTTGTGTCTTACAGTAGATCTCATCTCTGTTTGGTTTTTCCTGGCAGGTGGTATGACCCGTCGGAGCCGACTGATCCCACTTGTGGTTTTCTGTGGGTTTCTTCTCCTCTGTGTCGCAGTCGCAGGAGACTGGTTCACTGAGTCAAAGCGTCAAAAAACAGAAGTATGTATAAAAACAGGCCCACTAGAGGGCGCCATCCCCTCAGGCCACCATCATGAAGTCTGTTTTGGTCTGTTTGGTCAGAGACATTCATATCAGTGTCCTCCCTGAGGTCATTCTGTAGCTCTGGGAGTGCTCCTCCTGTTCCTCCTTACACAAAGGAGCAGGTAATAGTTCTGCTGATGGGTTAAGGACTTTCTATTTCCCAATGGCACTTACTGATGTTCCAAAAAAAACATTCCTTTCAGATTGTTTCAGATATTTTTTTGAAGAACACTGCACACCATGCTAAAATATTCCAAGTTTTTTTTTTCTAATAGTTTTTTTTTTTTTACAAAATAGCTTGTTGGTGCAAAAATACAGCTTTATTCCTGCTAAACTGTGCTACACTTGGTAATTCATCATAGATTCAGCTATAAAAATGGGAACAATTGTTTTTTTGTTTGTTTGTTTGTTTGTTTTTTGGGCATTTGTTTTACAGGTTGCTAGTAACAAAATGCCTAAACATGCTATTTAAATTGGTTCTTTGTTGTCTGTTTGTCTTCTTTAGTCAAAACACTGGTTCATCCCTTGAGTTAGATCTTTTTTTCATGCTGGGACCCTTCATAGATCAGTATTGCTTAAGAGACAAAAACATTCCTGTGACTATACCGCTTACAAGAACTGGCCTAAAAAATAAGTGAAAAAGCAGCCAGTGTTCAAAGAAAAAGTCTGAAAAACATTCAGAAAGCATGGAGATTAAATATGATCTTTGGTCATTTTTTTTAAGGATCACTTTTTTGGGGAAGAGGAACAACTTTATTAACTGGCCAACACATTTTCGAGTTGTGGCCTTCATCAGGGTCAAGGTCACAGCCGGAAGGCGTTGGTCAGTCAGTAAAGTTGTTCCTTTTCCCTTTAAGTGTTGCTGGATTTCCTGCATTGTGATTTTTTTTCTTTTTTTTTTTTTTTCATCCACGTATCTTGGAAACAGGTGAAGTTGTGCCAGAAATGTTTGCAAAGATCACTTTAAAAAAATAAAAAAAAAGTGAGCACCCAGAGAGCTGCATGCCCAGCCAGACACTTCTTCCCTGTCTCTGTCAGTCCCTGCATCCTTAAATGTCTCCAGTTGTCCCGAGTTCCCCCTGACTGTCTCCTTGGTGTATTTAAACCCCTGTTCCTCCCTGTCCTCGTCGTCTGTTGTCTTCATCGCTGCTATCAGTCATCATAATTTTACCATCTCTGTGCAAGTCTGCAAATTTCTTAGTGAAATCATAAGATTTGTAAATTCATGAAGTCTCTCTGTGCCTGGGTCCTCATCACAAAACATGACATCATTGTTTTGTACATTTTAACACAATTTAATTCCCATATTTGTGAAAGAAAAGCAAAACACTTCAGTCTGTAACAAAACCATCAAATCAGATATAGGTTATTTAAATGCAGCAAACGAAGAATCGATTGGAATAAATAAAAATAATACATATCCTAACCTTCATTACAGGGGGAAAATGATGAATGATGCTCATAGTGAGTAAGAAGTAAACTGAGTGCATTTTTTTGGACAGAGATTCACTTTTAATGTGTATGTATAATACAATACAGATACATACAAAATACACTCCAAAAATAGAGTCCTTGAAATGTACAAATGCACAAAATATTGATTTAAAAAAATTATAAAAATGGAGGCAACTTTGCCTCCATGGTACAATGTATGAAAAGCTCTTTACTGCAGATAGTACTATGGCTCTGGTTGGAGGTTGGCAAATCACTTTTGGTGGTAGGATAACAAACATCGTGGGAAAACACGTTTCCAACACTGCAGGTTACCTGGGTGCACTGTTTTAAAAAAAAAAAAAAAAAAAAAAAA